AGGTCGCGGACCAAAAAGTTTGAGAATCACTGATGTAGAGTGTATTTCGGGTTAAAGTGACCCGTTTATGGTCTATTAAAAATAAACAAACAATTAAATATAAATTTTATTTTCTACAATTAGTTAAAAGGAGTTAGTACGAGCGAAGTAGTCGAAGCGAGTGATACTTATTATATTGTAGAGTGTATTTCGGGTCAAAGTGACCCGTCTATGGTAAATAAGTTCTTGAAATATCATCAATATTTTAATTTCAAGAGCGACAACAAAACAGTAACGTTTTGTGACATATGCAAAAGAAAAATTTGTTACGCCTGTTAAAAAAACAATTGCCTAGACTGTGTTAAATTATGATAAATTCATTAAATAATAAGAATTTATCTGTTGTAAAAGTCAATATTTTTTTTTAATAAACAGGTCATTTTGACCTATAAGTGGTACTTGTGTTTTTATTTGTCTGTAGTTACGTGTTAATTAATAAGCACTTAGATTTCTAATATGAAAATAAAAATTGAAAAAAATCTTACATTAATTCAGTAAAATTGATATATTTTTATTTTAAGCTGTTTCTTCTTTCATTAGATAATTAACAAGCATTGATTTATTAATCAATATATTTTAATTCTATCTATTAATAACATCTAATACGAACATAAATATAATAATGAAAATTGTAATTTGAAAGTGAATTCATCAATTAATTAAATGAATAATAATGAAGCGAGATGAAAGCGTCGGTCAATTAAATCACGTTTCTCTTTCGTTTTTGCATTTATATGTGTAGCATTAAGGCGATTTCGTGATTCGCGGTACGATTTTCGTCCCTCCGGCATGTGCAATTACCGAGAGCCGTGCAATTAATGATCCAAGGAATTTCCACGTCTCCTTCCTACAGACATACAAGAACTCACAAAGTTTGGTTTCCTCTTTTTCCGCGTGCGGAGGAGGGAAAACGAGCAAATTTATATACAAGCCGCACGATTTATATCGAACCTTCGGGCCACCTAAGCTCACAAATCAACTAAAGTCGATGCTTTATTAACAGCCTTATCCTACTCGCAACCATTTATTAATTGCATTTATCCACGTTTACAAAGTCTATAATTTTCGCCTCAATTATTGCGTTTTCTCTGTCAAATAGATGATGATGATTGAGAAGTAGTCGGAAGTGGATCACACAGATCGCGTGCTTTCTCACTCAATTAACACATTTTTTATGTATTCCTTATTACATTTTTTATTATATTTTCGAAATAATTGATCTAATTTTATATCCAAATTTTTATATAAAATATCAAAAAAAAAAAACACACAAAATGCAATCAAACTAAATATAAATTAGTTAAAATTAAACAATTATAATATTTCATTCAATTAAAATGCTTTATTTTTCTTTATATTTATTTACAATTTATTTGATCAGAACATTCAGTAAAATAATACGAAATTAACATTGAATTAACAAATTCTCTATTAAAGTTTAAAATTTGAACCTACGCCGACGATGTCGTGGTCCTGTTCACCAACGAGGATTATGTTGTTGCAGTGCGTGGACTCCAGAGTCATCTCAACGCGTACCAGAAGTGGCGCATCAAGGTCAATGAGAGCAAATCCAGTCATGTCACTTTCACCCTTAGAAAGGAAATCTGCCTCCCGGTCACACTGAACAGCAAAATAATCCCGCAAGCCGACGATGCCAAATAATTGGGTTTGTTCTTGGATCGCCGACTCACGTGGAAGAAGCACGTCGCAACGAAAAGGAAGCAACTGGGCATCAAGTTCGCGAAGTTGTACTGGCTGATCGGCAGAAGATCACAGCTATTCCTCGAAAATAAACTACTTATATACAAGACAGTGCTGAAACCAGAGTGGACGTAGGGCATCCAGCTTTGGTGAACAGCCAGCAATTCGAACATAGAGATCTTGCAAAGCTTCCAGTCCAAGAACCTGTGCACCCTGGTGCAAGCCCGCTGGTACTTCACGAACGACAATATATACAATGACCTCCATATGATCACTGAAAAGAGTGAAATCCCTAAGTTCAGTGCTTGTTACCAGAACAGACTTTAAAACCATCCCAACAGTCTCGCGTTATCCCTGCTAGATAACAGTGACCCCCACAGACTAAAGAGACACAAAACCCTCGACCTCCCCTTTAGAATCTAAAGTTCGTTTTATTCGTGCATTACAGTGAATATATTTAAGTTATTATGTAGTGTCCTCAAAATTATTTTTTATTTGGGTTGTTTTGTATTAATGTGATAATAATTTTTAGTTAAATTTGAGTTTGTTTATTGGAAAATTTCCAATCGGAAATAATTCAGCTCACTACTGTATTTCGTTTTTCTGTTTTTATTTTTTTGTCTTATGGCCAAAACACATCCTACTTATTGTCTAAATAGACAGCTTGTGAATAAGAAAAAAAGTTTAAAATGTACAAAAACAATCAAATCATTTACAATTTAATTTATCATTGAATCATTATATTTTTAGTAAGAACCTATACAAATTTCCTCTATCATCTTAAATAACAATGAAAAATTTATTAAGTAGACTTTTTAATAATTTCTTAAGTCTTAATTTGTACCATAAATATAATTGAGCCAATCTTAGACTTAGTTTTTATCTGATTTTAAAATTATTGCAAATGTATTGTTCACATTATAGAGAAAATATAGCTTAATTTAAACTAATTTTAGTTTAAGTACGAATTTCTTATCAATTATGTACGTTTTTAGATAATCAAAGAAATTATAATGTAAAATACACATTATAATTTCGTTGATTATCTAATGTAAACAATTATTATCTAAGTATAAAAACTGTTTATATATATATACAACAATGCCTCGTATATTCCGGATTTGATCAGTCCGGATTCACTATAGAACAGTTTGAAATTTTAAAAACAAAGTAAATTCTATATAAAAAAAAAACTAAAAATAGATTATTTATTACTTTGAATGTATTTATTTCATCGATTAGTCTGGTTTCAAAGAGATTAACCGGACTATTCGAGGTATTGAGTATTTGCGAGGTACGTTTTTAGATAATCAATGTAATTACGATATAAAATACACATTACAATTTCTTTGATTATCTAATGTAAACAAATATTATCTAAGTATAAAAACTGTTTATATATATATATATATACAACAATGCCTCGTATATTCCGGCTTCGATTAGTCGATTATTCATTACTTTGAATGTATTTAATTCATCGATTAGTACGGTTTAAAAGAGATTAACAGGACTATGCGAGTCATTGATTATTTGCGAGGTACGTTTTTAGATAATCAAGATAATTATAATATAAAATACACATTACAATTTCTTTGATTATCTAATATAAACAAATATTTGTTATACAATGCCTCGTATATTCCGGCTTCGATCAATCCGGATTCACTATAGAACAGTTAGAAATTTTCAAAACAAAGTTAATTTTATATGAATAAAAATTAAAAATAGATTATTTATTACTTTGAATGTATTTAGTTCATCGATTAGTCCGGTTTCACAGAGATTAACCGGACTATGCGAGGTATTATTGTTTTTTTTTTAATATATATATTTAGTGCTGGTATTTAGAACACAGGTATTAAACTAGTAAGTATTACGTGAGTAAGTGTGGAGCTATTCTTGGCAAGATTTTCGTTAAAAAAAGCACCATTAAACATAAAAAGACTGTTGCATCGCAGGATACAACTTAATAAACAAGTGGATAGTAATCCTCTATTTTCCAAAACAAAACAGAAAAGAGCAGTGTCCTTGACTTAGGTCTGCATTCACGATGCTGTGGACAGCGACTTTTATTTCTTTTGCGGCATCAAATTCTGAAGATATCCGCTTTTATTGCGTAACTTCTTTCTGCAAAGGCCGGTGGTTATATTCGGCCACGGATTGTCTATATTTAGGACGGAGTGTAGCCAAAGTGCTAATGTAGTACGAGCGGTCTAGGAGAGATGCCAGTTTTTTCCGATTCATGTTGACGTTTCTCCGTGCGTCCTAAAGTCAGCGCACACACAGATTCGATGGCGGAAATGCCCTCCAACAAAAAAAAAAGAAGTTCTTTTCTGCATAAAATGTATACGCATTCACTTTTTGATCGTCTCGATCGTCACGTTTTCCTCGTGTCCGTGAGCAACGAGCCAAGTTCCAAATCAAGTATAAAAAGATATGAAAATAGAGATTCGAAGCTTTGAATTTGCCAATTTCATTTACTGAATTACTTTTAAGACAAAGCGTGTCAAATTATATAATCTTTTAATAATGAAAAAAAAAAATACGTAAATCGAAATGGTCGTACGTCGAATTTTATACCAAAAAATAGTCATAAGTACATGTGCATCTAAATTACATGTCAATAGTATTATTTTATTAATTACTTAGGAAAAGTGTAAAACATTAACAAATTATTTCAATTCGTAAGTAGGAATGATTGTAAAATAGTATTATTTTATTAATTACATAAATTGCTGTATGATCTCTTAATTGAAAAACTTATTGTAAACTCAAATACTATGGAAACGACGCAATTCGAAATGGTCGTAAATCGAATATTATATAATAAAATAGACATGTGCATGAAAATGAAATGACAATAGTATTATTTTATTAATTACATAAGAAAAATGTATAAAATTGACACATTTCTTCATTTCCAAAGTAGAAATAATCGTTAGTTGAAAAGTTACTGAATAATATCTTAATTGAATTAGAAAGCAATAATTATAAACACAATTACAATGGAAACGACGTAAGTCGAAATGGTCTTAATTCGAATATTATATAAAAAATAGACTTAAGTACATGTGCATCAAAATTAAATAAAAATGGTATTATTTTATTAAATACATCACAAAACTGTAAAAAATGATGTAATTTTTTCACTTCGTACGTAGAAACGATCTTAAGTCAAGAAGTTACTGTATAATATTTTCATTGGATTTATAAAACTAACTGTAAACTCAAATACAATGGAAACAACGTAAGTCGAAATGGTCGTAAGTCGAATTATATAAAAATCAAATTAAATGAGTATTATTTTATTAATTACATAAAAACTGTAAAAATGGATTCATTTTTTGTAAGTAGAAATGTTCACAAGTAGAAATGAGAAATTGAAAAATTTTCTGTAGACTCAAATACTATGGAAATGCAATAAATAAACAAGTAAATAATATTATTTATTAAATTCATATATACATTTCTAATATTTAAACTTTTTATTATTCTAGAAACAAAAAAATGTATCGAAGTGAAGTTCAGAAAGAAAAGTGGGTTAATTAAATTGATTAATAATTGCACGAAAGTAAACGAGGACTTAAAAAAACAACAAGAGGAATGATCGATTTCCTATAATAAATAATTGAATCGATTTGCACACGTGGGTAGAGGATGTATTGAGCTGTTGTCGTGTTCGCATGTCAGTTAGATGAGGTGGAGAGGGCGTGCATTATAAATGGGAAGGGCGGACATGTCGCTGATCTATCCATATTCATAGACACCTCGGATGGGACTTCGGGAGTGGAAAGTAAATAAGTTATAAAGACGTATAATTATTACACATTAATCCCATTTATTTCGTAAATATCTGATTCGAAATGCGTCTGTATGTGTATAGAGCGAGTGCATGTGATGTTTGTTAATCGATAGTATTTATTATTTAGCTTTTTGATTCGTTTCCCACGTCATTTCGTTTATTACCAATAGTAATAATAATATTAATAGCAATTTTATCTGACTCATTATTAGCCTTTCATTGCTGTTTCGTTGTAAAGCGAATTATCGATGTTAATTAGCCCGCACGTTATACTTTCACCAATTCAATGACAATTTATCTCTCTTTTACTTCAATGTAAACAAATTGATGTTTATGAAAACACCAAAAAAAGCAATTTCCAAGTAATTAATTACTTGTACTAAAAATTATACTCTTATTTTTTTTCTATTTCATAAACTCCATATTACAATTTGACATACATTCATTCATTACTTTTTATTCAGCTAGTTTTTACATATTGGAATATTCACGTAACATAAATTATAATGTTTATTTGCCATGGATATACAATTAGTTCTCACGACGTGACTCGAAATGGTCGTAAGTCGAATTTTATACCAATAAAATAGACATAAGAACATGTGCATCTAAGTTACATGTCAATTGTATACTTTTATTAAGTAGGAATGATCGCAAGTCGAAAAGTTGTTATAAGATTTGTAATATCAAATACTATGGAAACGACGTAAGTCAAAATGATCGTAAGTCGAATATTATATAATAAAAATAGACGTGCATCAAAATTACATATTAATAGTAGAATTTTATTATTTACATAACAAAAAAATGCAAAATATTAATACATATTTTCCTATTAACAATAATTATAATGTTTATCAGTTAAATTTATATTTTTTTTTTTCAATTATTAAACAAATATATGAAGAACATCATATTAAAACATATAAGACAAAAAACTCCGCTCTTATATAATATTTTATTCTTTGAATTTGTAATCTTTTTTTTATAATTTAAAATTAATCCATAAGAGGGAGTTAGTTTCAAATTAGTTGGTAACACTTACTGCGTTGCCATGGATATACAATTAGTTGTCATTAAGTTATTATCGGTAATTATTTATACCAAATTATGTTTAACTGTTTAATTTTTCAAAATTATCGAATTACTCAATCGCCTTTAGATATTGTGAATCGTGTGCAATTAAGGAAAACATCATCGGACACCACCAATTTAACCATATATGGGCAATTAACAGTGAGTAATTAACAAATTTAAAAAAGTTTTACATATACGTTGTTTACTAATTCGTTTGGTAATTATAGTTAAGACTTAATCAACAAATGGATGTCTTATCATTAAAATGTATAATTAAGAAAGTTTTGTAAATTTATTTTGTTGTTATGGTTAGGTGGAATTGTATTATTCTTGCGGATCTCGATGTTTTTTTTCTTAATTCTGCTTATATCAGCACTTTCCAAACCAGTTATAGAATATGTATGAAGAATTATTAGAAATAAAATTTACAAAACAATATTCTTATTTAAAGTTTCAGATTTATTATTTAACAAACAAAAAACTTTTAAAATAATGTTAAAGTGCACAATTTCGTTTTTTGTGGACAATTTGGACACGAAAAACGAATGAGATCTGCTGAGTCGAGTTTTCATAATCATATTAGGAGGTCATTTTTGGACAGTAGAGTAATTTTTATTGCATTTACTGATTTGTAGAAGAAAAGTTACTAAACAAAATAATATTTTCTCTTAATTCCATCTATATTGTGTGTTAATAGCATTCCGAAAGCTGTTAGCACGTACTTCTTTATTGGTTTTACATGAACTCTAAAACGAACATCATTCCAAGATATTTTTTAAAGGAAATGAAAGAGTTAAAGTAGATTTTTATAGATATCTGAAACTTGTATACTTATATACAGTAGAACTCACGTATAACGCCGTTAATACGTTAAGCGTTGTATGAAATCGTGTTATACAAATATCTTTCTCGTATAACACGAATTCCCGTATTTTGTTTTATTTCGCGTCATACTAGAATCTTTGTAAGAATTTCGATGTTTCGTCATAATTCCCTTAAGTTAAAAAGCTACAATTCGAGACAATAATTACAATTTTATTTTTATTAACTGAAAAGCAAAGTTATGAGCAAATTCTAAGCTTTTTGATAAATAAACTATGGTTTAGAAGAAAAGTTATAAAATAAAATTATATTTTCTTTTAATTTTTATCCATTTTGTGTGCTAATAGCAAAGAAACTCTAAAAACGAACATAATTCAACAATATTTTCTTAAAGGAAGAAGTGAAAGAGTTAACGCAGACTTTTATAGAAAGGATCAGAGAGATCCAAAGCTTGTACACTTCTATATATGGTTTAGTGATTTCGATGCTTTGTTATAGTTCATTAAAGTTAAACAGCCGCGTTTCGATGAAATATGTACTAGGTGTTGGTGTGTGTATGTATATGTATGTGCTTGTTCTTTTCGCCTACTTCTTCGGATACACGTTTATATACATAGCATTAAGCATTACTCGTCCATGGGTCGTGATTTTATAGGTTAAATGCAGAATGTGTGTTTCCGAGAGGACAAAAAGTTCGAAAATGGTAATATTAAAAATGCATACACAATACACAAAGCGACACAACGTAACGGTCCACGGACGTGATCCTATCGCCGTCAAAGTTACTACGAACTGGTCAAAACATACTTAACCCATTAAAAAAAGTACACGTGCACATAAACACACAATTGTTTCATCCGTCGAATAAACCTTATTACATTCACATCTTACCACCTAATAAAACATATACAATTCAATAATTCAATTTTATAAACGTCAGTTTTTGACATTTACATTTTAACTGTCAGATTTTATTAAATTAATGTGTAATTCAAAACGTCCGCCTACTTTTGTTATTTGATAAACTTTGAGAAAATATGTTACTCAATAAAAGTTTAATTTGTTTTGAAATCCTCGCATAGTACGGTTCATAGGATAATATCCCGGACTGTTTCAAACAGGACTAATCGAGAAAAAAATGAGAATAATGGAGAAAAATTGTCAAAAAATTAATTTGTGGACAAATTTTATAAACTTCAGTTTTTTTACGTTTAAATTTTATTTGTCAGATTTTGTTAAATTAATATGTAATACAAAACCTACATCTGTTTGTCGATAAAACGTATGTTACACAATAAATATTTGATTTGTTTTAAAATCCTCGTATAGTGCGGGTAATAGGACAATATGAGGATCAATCGAGAAACAAAATACATACAAAACTGTACAAAATGATATAATGGCAAAAATTGACAAAAAAATAAATTTGTGGACAAATTTTATAAACGTCAGTTTTTGACGTTTAAATTATAATTGTCAGATTTTCTTAAATTAATGTGTAATTCAAGACGTCCGCCTACTATTGTTTTTATTTTTTGATAAAAAAAAATAATAAATATTTTTTTATGTGTGTGGACAGAAGCAAAATAAATATAATAACAAGAACGAAGGATCGATTTATTTTCAGTTTGTTGACCTGGACAACATTTTTTCCTTCTGTTCGGGTTTAAATTTAAATAATGAAATCGCCGTATTTTTGTTTGGTACTTGAGCGAACCTTGGGGCTTATTTTTGGGTCGGGCTCGGTTAATTTTAGACGTTTTATCTTCTTCTATCAGAGAAAATACTCTCAAACCACACATCTTAAAGCCACATTTGAGAAAAAAAAAGAAAGTGTTATTTTGTAAATAAAAATCACAAAAATATTTCTATACACTTTCTACAATTAGATAATACGTAATTATTATAATTTGAATTAAGAAAAGAATAAAGTAATGAGAATTGTTTATATTGAATTAAAAAATTGGCGTGAAAAACTGACGCTCAGGCGAAATAACAAATATAAATAGCTTTATTTACGAATTCATTAGTGAACTTTATAAATATTTACTTTCGGCGGATGTGTTTATAAATTTATAAAAAAAATATGACGAACTAACGTCAAGTTGCGAAACAACGTCAAAAGGGCATTCATTGCTAGGTAATTGGATAATAATCCGGACTGTTTGAAACCGGATACAAAATACAAAACAAAATTGTGGACAAATTTTTAAGATATAATTTTTATTTTGTTCATTAAAAATTTAGTTTATTTTCAAATCGTAGTAAAGTGAAACCGTACTATGCGAAGTACTGTTGTATTTGTTTTAAAATTTTCAAACTGATCTATATATTGAATCCGTACTATGCGAAGTATTGCTCTGTAATAGGAAACAAATTTAACTAAACGTCAAGTTACAAAACAACGTCGAAAAGGCATTGCTTAGTATGGAATATCTTGCATAGTGCGGGTAATCACTACTATTCCAGTATGAAACCGGACTAATCGAGGAAACATTTATACAAAATAAACCACACAAAATGAGATAAAGTAAAAAATTGATACAAAATATTTTGTGGACA